TAACAAAGCAGGCAGATGAGTATTTTTGTCATAGAGAAGTTGTTCAGCATAATCTACATGTGCTTTAACCAGATTGAGAAGAATAAGACGAGGAAATATAATCAATATAGATGAATGTTGCTTATTTTTTTGTGGTTGATAATTAACAACACGTAATTCTTTCAAAAGAGGAAAACATTGAGAGATAAGTTTGAATAAATTATGTTCAAAAGGACGTCCATCAGTCATTGCTAAGCATTGAACTGTATCAAATATATCACCTTGAAAAGAGTTGTTAAGATGAAAAAAATATTCAAATTGATATGGAAGTGAATAGACATGCGATGTGCCTACATTGCATTCTTGTCTATAATGGACATATGAACCAACTTGTCCATATCCTTTCCCAATGAAGCTATGTTGAATATCTTCGTTTGATGGACGATCAATTTTGATGTCTTCATTAACAATAACTGTGTTTATACTGAATGTAAATTTGTTCAATTGTGGCATATAAATAAGAATTTGATCATGTAATTGAATACCATCAATATAAATTGAGTCATTTTTTAATACTAATAAGAATAATGTCAATTCTTTAAGATTTATCATTCGACGAAGTAATGGAATAATTTGATCGTCATAATGACGTGTGTCCTTCATTGAAGTCAATGAGAAGCATTTCAAATCGGGAAGTTTTTTCTATAATGAAAATAGAATTAAGAAGTTGTTTCTCTTCTCAAAAAAATACAAGATTTGTTGAAATTATATTATACCTTATTTTTATCTGAGAAACTCAAAAATATTTCTTTCACATCAATAATCAATGTTGATAAATGTTTGAGACGTCCATCAAGAAGATAAAGACAATCATCAAAAGTTGCAACATTAACTTTTAATTTAATTAAAGTCGAAGATATACAACTTGTTAATGGGAACTTATAAATACAAATTGGAGTCTTCCGATCATAAAACAATTGACAAAAATTCAAATTGATTAGTTGTTTACATATAGATAAAAACAATGCAAATATACTTGATAGAATTTTAGATCCTTTTGATTTTGGATCATATGAAACATCAATATTAAGATATTGAATTTGTTGAGTGAAAAGATGATGAAGAATTGAATTACCTGAGAATTTAAAAAATAAAGACAATGAATTTTGTGTTTCATTTTATTATTTAATACAAATAATCTACCTGTTAAATATTGAAGAAGTATTTCTTTTTGAAAATTAACAAGTGATAATGAGTCAAGTTGAGGATAATTACCAGTAAGAAGAATATATTTCATTGAATTTTGTTCAACTATAAGTTCATTTAATTGATGATGAATTCGAGGTAAGATTTTTTCACATATTTTCGAAAGAATATTATTGTCTATTGAAAATCTACGATCATAATATGATTTTATGACCATGTTGGTCGTATCAAGTTTGCGAATATGAAGTGAATTAAATACTAATCGATTAAATCGATCATTAACGTCCACAAGTGAATAGATAGCATCAACCGTTTTCAGTTTATTGAAAATGATTAGTAATATTTCATCGGGTAAATCCAGTATATTTAGTTTATTGATATTCGAATTATTCATTTTAACACTGGCATACTGTTTATTCATTTCATTTTATATATCTCTACACTTTGCTCATTTCTGTCTGTAAGAACAATGAAAAAAGAAAAACATTCTTGCCATGATATTCGACTACGATGAATGGCTGATGGCATTTTCTATTCTGTCTAACATTTTTTTTTTATTATTTATGAGTGGTCCGTTCGTCCGGTCATTTTCTTTTATCGGAACGTTTATCATGTAGCTTGTTTTTCATAACACATAATATTATGTTTAGAATAAGATATAGTATATCAATCAGACATTAGAAGTCTACTTAAAAATTGTCTAATGTATCGTTTGATAAAAGAATACCATTGATTTAGTTGAATTGGAAAAAATAAATATCACGTGAAAATATAAGAAGTATAGACCGTAGTTGGTTTGTTTGGATCTAGAAATGTATGAGATCGATGATAATCTCGGTTAAAAAGACCGGGAATGAAACCAAACTTGAAAGTGTACTTGGTATCGAAACTGAGACCAAAGTTGTACTTAAATGTTCTATTGTATCTGAACAGATTGTTTTATGTATTATGTCAATCGTAACATGAGTGAAGAAAAAAGACTAAATACAGTGAGACATTCGTTGACTCAATAAATTGAAGAATCACAATTTTGAAACCTTTTTTGGAATTCATATGTTCATATTTTGAAATAATTTTGTCTAGGTCGAAATCAAGATTGTAACTGTTATTGCGAAAAACGAAATAATTACGACGAGGACGACAAAAAAACTTAGTCTCGCACATATAGTAGTGGCGTAACTATGAGAGAGCTGGGATAAACTGAACTTCTCAAAAATGTTTTGGTTCTCATAAAAAATAGAATTTCTCATTTTCGAAGCTATTCTGAGCAGAGTGAGTGAGATGCGTCAGTTCATTCTATTCAACATTCGATATTTTTCTTCGATCAAAGACGAAAACGAGATTAATTTTTCAAACCAACGGAGAAATTGATGAACTTTTATGATAAAAAAATTATTTATTCACTGCTGACTATGGGAAGTTTTCAATCTAATCATACTAGTCTTAATATACTTTCATAAGAAACGATATGGAAATTCTTTTATTAGATTAAAATAATCGATCTTATCGAGAACGAGTCTGTATTCAATAAATGTTATTTGGAATTTCTCGTTACGACTTTTAGCGATGAACCGAAGCATGCCCAACAGAGATCCAAACAGGTCGACTTTTCGTCGGCCTGATCTGCCTGTGAAGGCCTGTATACTTTTTTTTGGTACATACTAATATTAGGATAATAATTGAATGAAAGTAGAAAACTATCTTTATAAGAAGACAAGGAAGTTACAGGTATCAAAATAACATGATTAAACGAAAAATCTATTGGCTTAATGCAGTATATAACTGTTGGATAGAGACAAAAAAGAAGATATTAACATTTAGAAAAGAACTCTATTTTTTGAGTAAAAATCTTTTGAGTGAATTTGATGAACTAGTTGAAGAGAACATATTAAGTCCAATCATATTACTACAGTATAAATATGAATCAGGAACAGAAGACTTCGTAAACGTTTTAATAATAACCAATTAAAAAGTGCAAATCAGAGCTTACCGAAACAGATAAAAAAAACTAAATAAATAAATGAACAATGAGCAATGTAACCACAATCTATAAATGGTCATGATTTTGTGCTGACAAGGAAACCGCCCGAGGTGTCCAAATCCGTTTTGATTCATTCCTACCTCATGCAATAGAGCATATTGAGATTAAAAAAAAGCCTATGAGAATTTGGGCTTATGGCTCTTTCTTCAAAAGTTACAGCTGTTTTACTGAATTTTTGACCTGTTCCTAGCTATTTAACGGAGAAACTAAATTATTGTTGAATTTCGACCTGAAATTTTGCCTATATATAGGTTAAATGATTTTTAGAATATCGTGAAAGTTTCAGCCCAAAACAATGTTCCTTTTTCAAGATATTCATTTGTCAAAAAAAATAGTTGTTTGCCAGAGGTAGATTCCAAAACTGAGTTCACTTGAGAAAGAAACATGGTATTGGACTGAAACTTTCACGATATTCTAAAGATCATTTGACCTATATATAGGCAAAATTTCAGGACGAAATTCAATAATTTAGTTTCTCCGGCAAATAGCTAGGAACGGGTCGAAAATTCAGTAAAACGGCTGTAACTTTTGAAGAAAGAGCCATAAGCCCAAATTCTCATAGGCTTTTTTAAAATCTCAATATGCTCTATCGCATGAGGTAGGAATAAATGAAAACGGAGTTGAACACCTCAGGCGATTTCCTCGTGAGACATTGCATTAGATATTGAAGAGTCGAATGACACAGAATACTCTTTATTGCTACGGTTATGAGGCTGACAACAAAAATAGGTACCATCCATTTCTCTTCGAACGACTATCCAAACTTAAATTTGACCTTTACCAAATCATATATATGTGCGATATAAGTTTAGCTCAAGAAAGACAGTTTTGATTGTGTTTTTCAAAAAAAAAATGAAACAGTGTAGATGAACAGCAGAAAATGAACCTAACCCAGTTCTTAAAATAATACTGTTTGATTATTTTGATACGAGAAAGCAAAATTGTTCTCAACAAGTTTTATCAGAGAAAAATGACAAATGTATAAAATATTTTCCAACCGATAAAGACCGATCAATTACATTTCTGTATTAAATTCGTAGCTGTAGTCATTTATTTAAATGTATAAGTTCTTGACTTGTTTGTTCATTAGTTAAGATGCTCTATAATGCTTAAAAAGAGAAGGTTGCAACTCGTCACGTGAAGAATTGAACAAACAGCAAAAATCAGACCTTTCGTAACACCAAAAATACAAGGATGTCGTAACGAAATTTCCAGGGCAATCATAACGATTAATACCGGGATTTCGTAAGAGTTGCAGAGCTTTCGCAACGAAGCAACAGGGATTTCGTAATGAGGATGAGGGTGATAGCTGGACTTAGTTTGCAGAAATTACATGCTTTTCGTTATGAAAGCTCTGTAATGGTACATGTCAAAACACCCGTTACGATAACCCTGTAAAATTTGTTATGAAACCCCTGATTTTTTGTTACGAAAGCTCTGTTACGGGCTTTCGTACTGTCAATTCGTTACGAAAGCCAGAAAAAAAATCTTGACGGGTTGCAATGCTCCCTTTAAAAAAAAGACACGAATAATAAGAAATGAATCATTGTATATGTTTACCTATATTTTGATTCTAAATCTAAAATTAACATCAATTCCAAATGTACTGACTGCTATTACATATCTTCACCATCTTCAAAACCAAGCGAAGCTAAAACAAATAACAAGTTTCAATTTGATCTTCTTTTTTCTTGTGAGATAGAATTCGAAACAATACGTAAACGATAATCACAACGGTGTGGTACTGGTGATCAAACAGTTTGTTCTTGTCATTATGTATCTTGTTGGTCATCTTCAGCCATTAAATTCCAAATCCAGTATGCTAATGTTCTATATAAACATAAAAAAGCATTTGTTTTTTAGTTAAAAATAAATAAATATCCATTGAGCTTTAAAAGACAACAAAAAAAAGAAAACTGATTATTTCTTTTTTAAATTCGAACTATCAAATCGTTCTATCGGATGATAATACTATAACGTTAACTGTTGTTTTGATGATGATATATTAAAAAACATAACAATACGAGATCTGGGTGTGGGTGTGCATAGAGAAAAGAAACATCCACACCCATACCCACACCCACCCAAATTATAGATGCTAATCTTGATAAATGTGAGAATGTCTTTGTTGAATAATATCTTAACACTTATATATTTATTTAACTTAGTTATACAATATCGACGATTTCGACAAGCATGTCATCGCTTACAATTCAATCGTGATCAACTCGATTCTGATGAACGAATAAAAGGGTATATAATATAAAAAATAAATTGAAAAGTTTTAATTAATATTAAAATAGAAAAATCCTATTTTCAAAATAAGAAAATTAGATGGTAAGATAGAAATTGACACATTGTTTGCTATTTACCTTGTCAACTTGATTTTTCCTTTTCAGCTAAATTTTTTTTTTCTACAAAATTAAAAAATACGAATTTAATTATGAAGAAAAATTTTTATTCTAGTATGGTCGATCAAGTATCTATTAATAATCCATATGAAACATTTGTTGACGTTGCTAAAGAACGTTTTTGTAATGATATTTATAATTGTGGACGAATTGTAGCACTTTATTTTACATATAAGCTTATCTCAAAAGTAAATACTTACTTTTCAATCCTAAAACGAATTAAAAATTAATTTGCTTATTTTTAAATCATAGTTATTAAAAGATGAACCATCATTACTTTTAAATGTTGTTGAATGGACTGTACGTTTTGTAAGAGGAACTATTGCACCATAGATTTTTCGCAAGAGCAGTTCGGTAAATTATTTTTTGTAATCATGTTTATTTAGTTATTTCACATAATTTTTTTTTCTTCTAGTTGGTTATCTTACGCAATTCTGTACCTCATTCATGTTTATCAACCATTGGCATTGTTCTCAGTGGAACGTTGGCAATTTTAATGGTTATTTGTTTCTATCGGCGCATCTAATATAATTGCTCCATAATAAAGCAGATTATTAGAAACAATGTATAGACAGAAAAATAGTTGCAATATAAGTGTATGTGATTTTTACCTGTTTTAAAATACATAGATGTATTATAAAACTAGGTGTGCTATGTTTGCTTGGTTTTTGTCATTGTATTTTCGCAATTCGATAGTGATATTCAATTGTGATATAAATAAATAAATATATATATCTTATTTAACTTGATCAGCTATAAATTTTTTGTTGTTTGATACTCATGAAGTATTCATACAAAAAGAAATAGTTTTTAAAATAAAATAGCTGAAGAAAGAATTCAATTTGGAAATAATTTTTGTATTTAAATAAAATTTCTTACAATTATTGTGTTAATTACAAAATAAGCAGAAGAAATATAGATACAATTAATTTCATAAGAAAAGTTTTTGTGTATATCATTAATCACTTTTGAATTAGAACTGAATTAATAACGTTCAATGAAATCAGTTGAGAAAATATTTAAAAAGAATTTGTGCTTCTTTCTTATTATTATCGAAATTATTATATTTTCAAGGTACTTTTCAATTCTATCGTGTGATGCTCTTTGTGAATATCAAGAATACTGACTCATGAAGGTTTTTATAAAGCCTTTTCACGAGTTCTATTTCAATACTATTAGATTTGTGATTTATTGTTATTTAGATCAAAGAATGTCGAATCTCATGGTACTCTATTATAGACATATTATTATGGAAAGTTTTATGACAAAATTCAAAAGGTAACTTTTGCTGCTATTCTTAAGCAGTACAACTACATTGAATGAACACAAAATCGTGAAAGTTTTACATCTACATTTCAATATACTTCATTTATTGTATTGTTCGGAAAATTCGAGTAGTGTCACATATCCAAGATTTTGGAGATGCCACCACATCTCCCGTGGGAGATGCCGCGTCTCCAGCGGGAGACGCGACACCCACACTCCAGAGATGTGGTCATTCACCACTGGAGATGTAAGATCTCCTGTAGAGATGCGCATCCCCCACACCCACGCCTGCATCTCTCGCGCGAGATGCGGCATCTCCCGCGGGAGACGTGGTGGCATCTCCAAAATCTTGGATATGTGACACTGCTGTTTAAGATAGCACAAATTAAGAAGCAGTAGAAAATGTTTTTTTTGCTTAAGACCATATTTCTAAAATAGAAAACAATGATACTGTTTTGGAAAAGAAATCAATTAACAAATTTATTACGTGTTCATCTCAATGTTGAAAAAGTTCGCACAAACCAGGTTTTATCTTAATTAAGGCATCTTAGGACATAATATTTATCACTAGACATTGCCTGAATATTATCGATAAAAAGTAGGATGAAGAGTAGCCTTCTTGACATCATAAAGAACTTTCACGAATTATTCTTTCATTGTCAGTTAGAAATACTAAGAATTCCATTAGAAAAGATTTTTCTTCCGTCCTACTAACACTACGGAATCTTCTCTGTAATAAATTTCATTTTTTAAAAGAGAACATACTTTACAGTTATTATGTGATATTGAACACTTCTCGGATTTTAAAAACATTTTAGAACTGCAATCAGTTGTCTCTTCATTCAATAGCAAGTTATACTGTTTAGTTCAATTATCATTCTGTCTTGTATTTCTATGAAATAATATCAACTATTCATGATCATCATACTTAGTTTATATACAAGAACAAAAACAAAATTTAAGTTTTATACATGTATTTATTTAACAAACAGATAAGTACAATATATAATTATTACAAAAAAAAAATCCAATCACAATGGCAATAAAGTTCATCATTGTCTCATATACAATATACCAAGTGTAACAATACCTAAAATAACAAGACTATATTTTGTTTAAGATACACAATTCTTTTAAATCTAATTACCTATTATTTCAATAATACTGACATATCGACTAATGTAATTTCGTTGTTCTGCGGTTTTATCAATAATTTTCAAAAAACCAGCCTTTTGAAACAAAACAAAAAGATAAATTTTTTTTTTCATTAGATTAACTTACCCAATAGTTTTGACTTTCAAGCCACGTGTGAAGATTTATGTCAATAAAATCTGTTGTCCACTCAACAACAGATGCAATAATTAAATCCATATTGTCTTGTTTTCGTTCTCTAATAAGATGTTCAGCTATTAATGCTGAGAATGAAATGAATGTAATTATTCGAGACCATGTTATTTGTCTATTATTAAATAATACATTGGCGAATACGTAATGCATGTTTTTGAATTTGTTCAATCGAAATGATGGAATACATCGAAAATCAATCACGGGCTGTTGAGAAAACATTCGTTCACTTTCAGAACCAATTCGACGAACAAGAATAAATAATCGATTAGTTGTTGTTGATGATGATTTATTTTTTAAACGCCAAGTGAAATAATCATTGACAATCAATTGAGTTGTTGTTGCATTATTATTCGAAAACATATTGTTCATGTATATACTTCAATTTGAAATGAATAAGAATGAATCGAATCAATGACTTATATAGTCTTGATGATAATAGCAATCAATTAATGAAGAAAGTGGACGTTCATTCAAATGAGAGACAAAAAAAGCAAACAATGACTCTATTTATCTCTCTTCTGCACTTTTTCTTATCACCCACTCATTTCGTTTGATTAATTATTGTGAAACTTTAAAATATTGAATTATATAAGAAATTGCAGTGGCACTACTGTGAAACTATTTTGTTGAAGGAGCAAGTAGTCGTTCGTTGTTTGCATTATTGTTATCATTGAAGAGTACGTCAGAACAAGTAATCGAAGTCCAATCTTTGTATAGATTTTCATCTTTGGGTAAAGACTAAATCAGATTGAAGCCTGACAAAGACTTGAATTAATCATTTTCGACTCTGTAGAAAGTTCATCGAAAACTGTTTGCAATTAAAACAAATATTTTTGTTTTTTCGATTCTGTTTAAAATTTTTCTCACCCGAATTATGAATATCTTTTTATTGTTGATATGACTCAAGCATATAGAAATAATGTAAAAATAAGATATATGTAATTATTTTGATCATTTGATGATTGTTTACAGTAAAATATATCTGATGTCGTACTCGTTGTTTTTCCAGTAAAAGATGAATCAGATCAAATCACGATATTTTGGAATATTATTTATGAAAAACTGCAAAGCTAGAAAAGGTTTACAATGAAAGAAAAATGGAGTTGCATGATAATTCAATCAAACACATTCTTATCTTCCATTCGTTTTATCAAACAATGTAATAATAACATATAAATGACAAGATTGATTGAAATATCGGCTAAAACTTTTCTTGTGCAATACGTTTACATGATTTCATAACATTTGTCGAGTTGTACAGGAATATATTGACTCCAAACAAGGAAAAAAACGAAAGGTTATTATGAGACATTTTTTCTTTTTGTTTTATATGAAATGTGACATGGAGAGTTGGCGATACTTTAGTGCCGATCGGATCTACGTTTAAAAAAAAACAAAATCAAAGGAAAAATTTCCAAGAAAAAAACAGATTTGAATTTATTCTACGAGTAAATCAGGCGTACACAAGCTAGAAGCCTTATTTCACTTATTAATTACTGTAAGTCTCTTTGTTATTATTAATTTCTGTCGCATCTTTATTCGCATTACTAAAGATAACGAGAGTCTCAATTGTAAACTTCGCAAATCCGTAATATCTGAGTTTTTCATAACGAACAATAATATGAGAGCGAGGATATTCATGGTTGACATTTTATCGAACCTCATCAAATAATGATAACAATTGTATATTATATTTCTGAGAGATTTGATGCTGAAAAGATAAAACATTAATCAGTTCTCATATACTTCCCTAGACGATTATGTATAGAGTGTCTCCATAAGTTTGAATGACGAAGTAGTCAAACGTCGACACAAATAAAAAATGTCGAAAGTTCCAATATAGTACAGAATAGTGATATAATAAACTAATACATGTGCATGTATGACAGTTTTTATCAGAAGTAGAGAGCTGCAGGTTCACATTTCTGTGGATCTGAACCCGGCAAATATTAAAGACTGAGGGTATGAGTGTGGGCACCAATGAATAGAAGACCCACACGTCCACACCTTATCTTGTCATATGCTGTGGGTATGGATGTGGGGATAGTTACAGATGAAGAGCAGATCCACACGCCAAATCATTCACATCAACTACTACACCCTCCAATACCGTACATCTCCAGGCACACCCATCAACGCATCACAAGCTATTTGACTTTGCTGAAGCGCAACGATTGTTACCTAGCGATATGTAAAACTGATGACGAGCACAGATTGCGTATATTCGATAAGAGCAGTTCGTCAAGATTGGCTGCTGGTTAAAAGAACAATTATGATAGAAAGCGACGATCCTTTTCTAAGTGATTCACAGTTGACGCATACAATGCCTTGCGATATTATTCGATGAGCGTAAAGAGCTGCCGTATTGGTACGTTCGTCGTTAACGGCAGCTTTTTACGGTCATTGTTTACGATGGCCGTATACGGCTCACGCAAACTACTGCCGTTATCCGCCGTAGTTGGTTGGTGTACGACCGAGTAGGATTGACTTGGAAAGCGTCGTTGTTACAAGAGCAACTAGCTGTGTATAATTGCCATTAAACTCAACAATATGAGAACAATTAGATGTGACCATTGGGGTGTGTTTGGACGGGTGTGAGTGTATGGAGTGCATGTGGATGTTGGTCTGGGTATCAGGGGGTATGTGGGAGTGAGGAGAAGAACAGTCACGAGAACTATACACCAAATTCACACTCTATATCCACATCCCCACCCAAGGTAGACATTTTATTGCGTACATTCGAAAATAAGCTCTGTGAAATCATTAAAATAAATATTGAAAAATTAACGGTGTAATTGAAATTGTTAAAAAAATATGATAAGTAAAGTTTTCAAATGTACAGAGTATCTTTACTGTCTTTCTAATATCAGAAGTTCGATTAATTTTTCGTACATGGTAAGGTCGACCGCTGCATGAGTGGTGGATGATCACGGTGACGTTGAGAGTTAAAATAGGCAAGAACTGCACTCTTCACTTGCTTGTTCATGTAGAAGAGAACAGTCATCATTACCATGACACATAATGATATAGCATTGACATTGACCGCTAACAGATAAAATGACTCTGGTGGTGGAGTCTGTGATGCAATCTTCTGCCAAAGAACAAGAAACACAAATGGTGAACCTCCACTAACAAATACACTCAGCAACATAAGCATATTGCGAACCAGTTTTATTTCACATTTCGCATTTGGCATAGACGCTGTTGTTCTGTCTGCTTCTCTAGCTCCGATGCGTCGTGTTGATTGTCGAGCACGATACCAAATAACACCATAAGTGAAACTTGATACAATGACTGGCACAACAAAACCAACTCCCATACCAGACATTGATGCCAAGAAATTTTGCGAGGTCATTAAGCAAACACGTGATTCACTTTCGAAGATAAACCCACGTTCGAGTAATAGTGGCAAAGTTCCACATACAAAAGCAATGATCCAGTTCGCTGCTACCATAGACCAATGCACTCGGTAAGTGAGTAGATATCTGTATTTGAAAAATACACTGAAAAACAGACGACTAAATGCTTCGATCACATATGAATAACTAATGCCCACACACGATACGAAGTAAAGGTAGCCTCGAATTTGACACAGTGGTTGTTGTCTCGCCCAATCTTCACGAAAGCCATAAACAGATTCGATTAAACTATTGACAGAATACATAACGGCAATAAGCGATATATTTGCAACAGGAACATGATTTACTGTTCGACATGGTCGATTAATGATAAAGATTACAATAATTGCAAAACAGATAAACAAGGTGATACTTGAAGCCAAAATGGAAAATGAAAAGTTAAGAATAAAAAATATATCACTGAGCATCGCTACAAGAAGAACACGTACTGCAAAATTGATCGAACTGAAAAAAAAAGAAGTAAAGTAAGATACGTCTCAAAGTTTTATGTTTATAAAAATATAACGAATAAAAAACTATTGTTGCTGCTTATGAAATCTTGCAAAACACTTTCATGAACCTTTCAGAGAATATATTCTTTACTCTATAACGATTGTACGTGTTGGTAAATGATTTTTCTATTGACATTTATATTTTTCAAAGTGAGTAAAGCCTTCCGGATATTTTCTAGACTGTAAAGAAGAAGCTATGCAAAAAATGAACCTAAATAGGTTAGCAAAAGAGCAACATTAGGTCATTGGAGTTTCTCAGTAGTGAAAATCGATTCTTATATTCTAGACTATGAACGAAAAATGATTAGGCTAGTTCGAAATCTTTTGAGTGAGCTTTTTTTTCGAACATAATGTATTAGAGTACCATGAGACCCCATAAGTTCCGTTGTATATGCTATGGAAGCAATGTATTAGTCGAACAGTAAACACTTTAAATGATAATATAGAATAATGCGGACTTAAGAGAAAGAATATGAAATCCTGAAAGACGCATTTTATACTCTTACTAATCTGAATCTTTCAAGAGTTGATAGGAGATTGTTTTTCAGCAGCAAGGTTGATTATTCTGCGTGTTTCTTACAATGTAGTGACACTTCGAGAAGCTACGAGCAATTTTTCGGGTAGAATTTTATGTGACAAGAGAATTATCTCTCAGACAGCTTCTTATATTTCCATGATAAGAATAGATTTCTTCTTTATCAACATTCCGAGAAGACAAACACGTCATCACTTATCATGAAGCAGTGTCTCACTACTGATTCGCATTGCTAAGCAGGCATTTACTTTGGTTTATGATAGGTATCTTTGCACACTGATGATTATTTGGATAGGGCCAGAAACAATAAGTGACAACTTGGAAGTGCTTCTCTCAGATCTTCCAAAATAAGGGATATCCGAAAAATCGTTTTGATTCAACGTGTATATCTAAACCGACGACATTAAAAAATGTAAATGAAAAGAAAGATATGAAACGGTTCTCTATGGGGTATGCTCAAGGAAACCGAAGAAAAATGTCAAATGCCATCACTTTTTAAATTTTGTGTATACCACTAAAAATGGAATCACCAAGAAAATACTTCATTGTCAAAATAAAATTCTGTGAAGTGATGTGTTGTTCAAGGAAGCCAGGTGGACTAAACGTTGTACTCAAGTCCGTTGCAACAAGCAAATCTTTTCAAATGTTATGAAGGTATACTCTATATGATCTAAACATAGGAGCGATATTCTTTCAATTGTACACCAATGGTCATTCCCTCATTTGAAGAGTATTCTGAAAATGCTTCTTAATCGATCGACTCAGTTTACAGGTTATGCTTTCACTTAATGTAAATTGTCTAAGATTAGAAAGATCAAATGATCGACAGACGCTATAGAATAACAGATTCATTTTTCTTCGCATTTTTAGTTAGAAATCGATAAAACATAAAATTACTCAAAAATTAATCTAACA